TTGGTTTCGCTGAGTCGCTAGGTCAAAACTGCTCGCTCGGAGTTGCAAGTCTCTGCTGCCGTGCATTTCGCTTTCGCTGGGCTCGAATTCTAGGATGGCACTCCTACGAAGGATGTGCCTCCTGTGCAGACATGCTGAGCAAAGGGCCGGCATCTAGTTTGGAGCATATCGCAGAGGAAGATAGATTTAGACATGATTGCATGGATTTGTTTTTTTCTGGAAACATCAGTGGAGCCAGAGCCAGTCGACTCTGCGAAAATGCTGGGCTCGCAGGCGCCAAGGGGGTCAAAGATCTGGCCCAGGCTAAGCAGGGAAGCAACACTGCCAGGAACTTGCTTCGGCGCAATCTTCGCCGAACACCGTGGCCGCCGCCATATGAGTGCCAAGTCCGGGGCAAGAATCCAAGGACTGGCAAGGAGGACCTCTACACCCTGGCCTTCATGCTTCCGCACGAAGTGCTACACGTTCTCCTGGAGTCTAACGATATTTCGGAAATCAGAAATCAACAAGCTCGGATTCCCAACTTGCAAGAGCAACTTCAAGAGCACGGCAATGATGTCCTGCTGTTGGGGCTGTGGCTAGACGGTGTACCGTTTAGCTCAGACCGTAGCCAGACACTGCAGTGTGCAACTCTCAGCTTGCCAGGGCTTACAGATGCTGGCGACTTTCGCTTTCCACTGACAGGGTTTCCAAAATTCTTTCAGATGCCTGAAGCTACCTGGGATGATGTCACGGCTATCATTGCTTGGTCGATGAGATGCTGTTATACTGGCTTCTTCCCGTCCTTCCGTCACGACGAGTCTCGTTTCCTTGGCAACGACAGCTGGCGAAAGAGGAGAGCCTCGCAGCCGCTAGGCTGCCGGGCAGTCTTGGCGGAAGTGCGGGCGGATTGGTCGGCATACCAGGAAGTGTTGCGACTACCTGGCTGGACTGGCAACGGCCCAATCTGCTGGTTTTGTCAAGCGACTTTGCAAGATCTACATGATGTTGACGAGAGCAGCTCTTGGAGGACACTTTGCTCCAGGAGGTGCCTCCTATCGAGGAGGCATCTCCTCATTGATTTTTCCGTTTCTAGGATAAGGAGGGGCCTCCTATTGAGGAGGCCTCTCCTTTTTTTAACATATAATTGGTTTTCTACCCCAGCAGTTTCCCTACCCCCAACTGTCTAAACTTGGTTTCTAGACCATTCGGCCAATGCCCTTGCAGGAGCTCGCGCCTGTCGCATTACCAGTTCCTGGCCAGGCAGATCTCTGAAGGCAAGAACTTGAGCCCTCTTTTCAGTTGTCCTTGCTTTTCAGTACAGAAGTGCTGCATTGATTGGCTTCACTGCATGGATTTAGGATGTGCAGCTGACTACATTGTAACTACATGGGTGGGCTTTTTCATATGGTCGTGCAGACAAAGCTCCCCGAGCGAAGTGTCCACGATCGCTGCAAGAACCTTTTTGGCGATATTCAAAATTATTATCGCCGAAACCTGTCCCAGTCCCGCATGAGCACGTTGACTCCGCTCATGCTGAAAGGCAAAAACAAGAAGTGGCCCAAGTTGCGGGCTAAAGCCGGCGAGGCTCGCGACCTCATCGGATTCGCCAAGGAATGCGCTGAAAGGCACATGGGCAATTCAGATTTCGAGCGAACGGTGAGGCAGACTGCGAAGCATCTGCACAGTTGCTATGAGTTCTTGTCCGAAAGGCATTGGGATGCCGAGAAGTTTCACAAGACTGTCAATAATTTGCAGCTTTGTTTGTAGAGTTGAGTAAATTCCCAGGGCAAACATATTTTAGGACAAAGCCCAAGATGCACCTGCTTCTCGAGCTGGGCCGCCAAAAGCGCAGGCCCAGCGAGACGTGGACGTATCGAGACGAGGGCTTCGGCCATGTGTTGTCCCTCCACGCAAAACGTCGTGGAGGAAAGTACTCGATGAAAGGCACTTCCAAGCAAATGCTTAGCAAGTTTTGTGTCAACAACAGGAGGTTGCCAACACTGGCCTGAGCTGCAGACTTGCACGGATGCGGAAAAACAACCGGCCACAAAGCACACACACAGACACGTACTGACAAACACACGCACACACACAGACACACGCATACACCACACAAGCATACAATAACATGACGAATAAAAAATAACATACCTTATTTAAGGTGTCAAAAAAAAACACCTTATTTAAGGAAAAACACCTTATTTAAGAAAACACACCTTATTTAAGGACCAAAACCCCTTATTTAAGCAACTTTTTCTAGAAAAACACCTTAAATAAGGAAAAAGACCTTAATTAAGCAATTATTTCCCGCACAATTCCTTAAATAAGGTGCGTTTTCTTAAATAGTGTCTTTTGGAAGCTCTGGGTAGCCAAGGACTACGACTTCCAGCGGGGCGTGAAGGACCCGTGCGTGTACCTAGACCGCCGGTCCGGCCTAATCCTTCTCCACCACGACGACATCCGTGTCGCAGGCCCCAAGGCCGCAGTGCTGAAGTTCACGGAGGTGGACCTTCCGACGCACTGTGAGATAACGGTGGGAGAACTGGAGGAGCCGGGCACAGCGGTGGAGGTCCTGGGAAGGACCAAGGTGCGCACAGAGGACTCTATCCTCACGCTGCCCGACAGCAAGCACGCAGAGAATGTGTGCGAGCAGCTGGGCATCGGTCCAAAAGACAAGGGGACCGTGCCTAGCAGACCTCTAGACCTGACCAAGGTCGAGGAGCTCTCTGCGGGTGACGCCGCGAGGTTCCGCAGCGCCGTGGGTAGTGCTATCTACCTGTCGGCGGACAGGCGAGACATACAGTTCGCCGTGAAAGAGCTGGCACGAAGGATGCAGAACCCCCAGGGTCTGCGACTGGCTCGCTGCGGAAACCCTCGCGCGATACCTGCGGGCGACCCCGCGGTTTGGAAGGGTAGTCAACAGCACAGCTCTTCTGAACTTGGAGGTCTACTCCGACTCCGACTGGGCAGGGTGCCCAGAAACGAGAAGGAGCACAGACAACATAGTTGCCTGTCTCGGGGGAGCAGTCATCCAGACAAGCTGCCAGACACAGCCCGGCCTCCCAGCCACCTCCAGCGGAGACGCGGAGATCCGGGGAGTGTCGCGAGCAGCAAGGGAGGCCGTCTTCCTACGAGAGCTTGCGGAGAAAGACTTCGCCCCAGCCTGCGGCTTGCCGCGGCTCTGGGCCGACTCCGCAGCTTCGATCGGAGCCGCCAAACGCATAGGACCAGGGTCCAAGCTGAGACACCTGGAAGTCGCGGAATTCTTTGTCCAAGGCGCGCTCAGAGCCAAACTTTTCGAACTGAGAAAAGTTAAGGGAACCGAAAATCCGGCAAACTTCGCTACCAAGCACTCGAAGACTGGACCGGAGGTGCGGCAATCCCTGCCCTCCATGGGCATGGTGGACCTCGATGCGGTCGCAGGCGCCACCGAGGCTCTGGCCCAAAAGGGCACGATCAAGTCGATCCAGGCAAGCCCCTGGAAAATGAGACCGCCGACCAAGCTTGCAAGCTCGGCGCTCATGGCCCAAGGCCCAAGGGCACGACTTCGCAGAGCTGGTGCTCGGCTTCGCGGCCCTAGGCTTCCTGGCCTTCCTGTGGATGCTTTGGGGTTTAGTCTCCTGGCTCTGCAGGTGCAGACGTGACAGGCAGGAGCCGGAGCTGGAGGATGAGATCGAACACCACGCCGAGCGTGCCGAAGAGCCGCCGCGTGCAGCTCAAAGGGCCACTGAGGTCTGGCTAGGGCCAGAAGCGCCCCAAGAGGCGCAAGAGGAAAGGAGGGAGCAACAGCCTAGGGGGGCTCAGGATCCTCAGAACACCGAGTTCCTCTGGACCGGGTTCGCCTTTCAAGTGGCCACCGGCCGCGTCGTGCGCCGGTACCATGGCCAACAGCGCGGTTGCCCATTCATGGAAGGGGCAACGATCAGACACAGGGTGTGTCTCCACTGCCGCAACGGGCACCAAAGCACCAAGCCCGGCAGTGCGGTGAACAACTCCCGCCACTGGGAGCCTCCACCTTGAGGCCCCTAGCGGGTAGCACCGCAGGGCGAGCCTTTCGGCTGCCAGCCCTGTGTGCGGGACGCTCCGCCCTACAAGGGGCGTCTCACCCTTCGACTGCGGGATGCCCCGCGGGAGGCTTTCTCAAACCCCTACCTCTAAGGGGGGTGCGAGATTTTTGTAGGCTACACTAGGAAACCTAGGTAAGTAGCTGTACAGTGTAGAGAGAAGAGGGTTTGAGCTAAAGGGCTTTAACCTGACTGCGACTCACCGCAGCCCTCTTTTGCAGAGTGAAAATAGTGAGCCCAATACGCGACCCAACCTCCGCGCAAGTCCTCTAATAAATCGATGCTTATTTAGCACGGGATATTATTGGTTATATTCAGAGAAAACAGCCACGCAGTGCATGCAGGATCGAAGATTTCCTGTTATTGTAAACGAGCTAACTATGTAAAGACATGCAGGAGCCCATGATGTGAGTATTCTGTAACTAGTTCGAAGCTTCTTTCCTAACGGGTTACATAAAAGAAACCAAGAATCCAGGATTCGAGGGTTCCTGTAGTGCATTGAAGCTTCGTTAGTACGAGATGTATAGTTTAGCTGTTAACTATACACGACATATCTTACTATTGCCTATGTATTATTTTGCTTGACCTTAATAATTTCCTAAATTCCCCCCTGTCTTGGATTACGGTTAGCATTAGTTGCCTACAGTCCCTACTCTCAGACCCCCATGTCCTGCCTTTAAGGACTTCCTCGATTCCTTAAATTCACCAAATTCCTTGATCGTTGTCCCTGTGTATTGGGTTTAACGGATTCATTAGTTCCCGAAATTCCCTCTCAATCATGGGAACACCTGAATCCTAACCATGAGGGTCAGAAGTAGGTTCCTTTTAGGGATTTAGGGAATTCACTACATCCAGTACATAGGGCTAGGGGTTAGAAAATTTAGAGACTTTAAGGATATAGGATGATATAGGGGATGTCTTAAATCTGGTACCTGTTTAGAGATCAAGAGAAACCATTCCAGTATTCCAGATTGTAGAATCTGAAAGATACCTGTAGATTGCATAATCAGGAATTTTGGAAATCTCTAAGAACTGCAATTCTGGAATTGTGGGCCCCCGCAAATGTAGAATTCGGGATTTAGTAGCCGCCACAAATCAAGAGGTCAATAATTCCAGAATTCCAGATTTGCGAGAGCTAATACTTCCAGGATTCCAGGTTTATCAGATCTAGAATTCTTCCCGATTGGAAAATCTGGAGTTCTGGAAAACTGGAAATCTGGACTTCTGGAATTCTGGAATTCTGCACTTCTGGAATTCTAGAAGTCTGGAATTCTAGAATTCTGGAATTCTGGAAATCTGGAATTCTGGACTTCTGGAATTCTGGAAGCCTGGAAGCCTGGAATTCTGGCAGAGTTAGCCATTGCAAATCTGGAATTCTGGAATTATTAGCCCCCGCAAATCTGGAAATTTGGAATTCCGGAATAGGACTTGTGGAATTATTTGCTCTTGCCATTGTGTAAATGTGGAAAGATAGTTTTGCGATATCAAGGCATACCCTTTTGGAGTCAGTGGAACAGCGGATTACAGCATCGAAGCATTTCGTGTCGCGGAAGCATATGTACTGTCAGCAACGGAACTAATTTCGGGCATCACAGTATTCCGCATCGCGAGTCCCCGAACTCCAGACCCTGAGCTGCAGCCTTTTTCCGTCGAAGATGAAGCTCGTTGTAATGAACATGAGGGCGTTCGTGTGTGTGTGTGTGTGTGTGTGTGTGTGTGTTTTTTGGGGTACCATATATGTATATATATATATATACACACACACATTATGTGTGTGCACATATACGAATGCATATATACATATATATATATATATAAATACACATGTACATATGATGTATATGTGTTTGTGTATGTGTATGTGCATGTTTATGTGTATGTAAATGTTTGTGTGTATGTATATATAAAGAGGGGTATATGTATATGTATATGTATACATATATACATACACGTGTATATGTATATGTATATGTATATGTACATGTATATGTATATGCATATGTATATGCATATGAATATGTATATGCATATGCATATGTATATGGATATTTATACGTATAGGTATGTGGATATATATATATATATATATATATATACATATATATATATATATATACATATATGTATATGTATATGTATATGTATATGTATATGTATATGTATATGTATATGTATATGTATATGTATATGTGTATGTATGTGTATGTGTATGTGTATGTGTATATGTATGTGTATGTGTATGTGTACATGTATGTGGATATGGATATGTAATGTGTATATGCATAGGTGATGTGTATGTGCTTGCGTACATACATACATACATGCATACATACATATGTATATATATACATATGTATGAATGAGTGTGCATGTGTATGTATGTACGCAGCACATTACACCACCTATGCATTTAAAACATTACCATAGCCATTCCACATACTATGTTACAACATAACAGACAATCTATATACACATGTTACACATACACATACACATACATACACATATACATATACATATACATATACATATACATATACATATACATATACATATACATATACATATACATATATGTATATATATATATATATATGTATATATATATATATATATATATATATCCACATACCTATACGTATAAATATCCATATACATATGCATATGCATATACATATTCATATGCATATACATATGCATATACATATACATGTACATATACATATACATATACATATACACGTGTATGTATATATGTATACATATACATATACATATACCCCTCTTTATATATACATACACACAAACATTTACATACACATAAACATGCACATACACATACACAAACACATATACATCATATGTACATGTGTATTTATATATATATATATATGTATATATGCATTCGTATATGTGCACACACATAATGTGTGTGTGTATATATATATATATACATATATGGTACCCCAAAAAACACACACACACACACACACACACACACACACGAACGCCCTCATGTTCATTACAACGAGCTTCATCTTCGACGGAAAAAGGCTGCAGCTCAGGGTCTGGAGTTCGGGGACTCGCGATGCGGAATACTGTGATGCCCGAAATTAGTTCCGTTGCTGACAGTACATATGCTTCCGCGACACGAAATGCTTCGATGCTGTAATCCGCTGTTCCACTGACTCCAAAAGGGTATGCCTTGATATCGCAAAACTATCTTTCCACATTTACACAATGGCAAGAGCAAATAATTCCACAAGTCCTATTCCGGAATTCCAAATTTCCAGATTTGCGGGGGCTAATAATTCCAGAATTCCAGATTTGCAATGGCTAACTCTGCCAGAATTCCAGGCTTCCAGGCTTCCAGAATTCCAGAAGTCCAGAATTCCAGATTTCCAGAATTCCAGAATTCTAGAATTCCAGACTTCTAGAATTCCAGAAGTGCAGAATTCCAGAATTCCAGAAGTCCAGATTTCCAGTTTTCCAGAACTCCAGATTTTCCAATCGGGAAGAATTCTAGATCTGATAAACCTGGAATCCTGGAAGTATTAGCTCTCGCAAATCTGGAATTCTGGAATTATTGACCTCTTGATTTGTGGCGGCTACTAAATCCCGAATTCTACATTTGCGGGGGCCCACAATTCCAGAATTGCAGTTCTTAGAGATTTCCAAAATTCCTGATTATGCAATCTACAGGTATCTTTCAGATTCTACAATCTGGAATACTGGAATGGTTTCTCTTGATCTCTAAACAGGTACCAGATTTAAGACATCCCCTATATCATCCTATATCCTTAAAGTCTCTAAATTTTCTAACCCCTAGCCCTATGTACTGGATGTAGTGAATTCCCTAAATCCCTAAAAGGAACCTACTTCTGACCCTCATGGTTAGGATTCAGGTGTTCCCATGATTGAGAGGGAATTTCGGGAACTAATGAATCCGTTAAACCCAATACACAGGGACAACGATCAAGGAATTTGGTGAATTTAAGGAATCGAGGAAGTCCTTAAAGGCAGGACATGGGGGTCTGAGAGTAGGGACTGTAGGCAACTAATGCTAACCGTAATCCAAGACAGGGGGGAATTTAGGAAATTATTAAGGTCAAGCAAAATAATACATAGGCAATAGTAAGATATGTCGTGTATAGTTAACAGCTAAACTATACATCTCGTACTAACGAAGCTTCAATGCACTACAGGAACCCTCGAATCCTGGATTCTTGGTTTCTTTTATGTAACCCGTTAGGAAAGAAGCTTCGAACTAGTTACAGAATACTCACATCATGGGCTCCTGCATGTCTTTACATAGTTAGCTCGTTTACAATAACAGGAAATCTTCGATCCTGCATGCACTGCGTGGCTGTTTTCTCTGAATATAACCAATAATATCCCGTGCTAAATAAGCATCGATTTATTAGAGGACTTGCGCGGAGGTTGGGTCGCGTATTGGGCTCACTATTTTCACTCTGCAAAAGAGGGCTGCGGTGAGTCGCAGTCAGGTTAAAGCCCTTTAGCTCAAACCCTCTTCTCTCTACACTGTACAGCTACTTACCTAGGTTTCCTAGTGTAGCCTACAAAAATCTCGCACCCCCCTTAGAGGTAGGGGTTTGAGAAAGCCTCCCGCGGGGCATCCCGCAGTCGAAGGGTGAGACGCCCCTTGTAGGGCGGAGCGTCCCGCACACAGGGCTGGCAGCCGAAAGGCTCGCCCTGCGGTGCTACCCGCTAGGGGCCTCAAGGTGGAGGCTCCCAGTGGCGGGAGTTGTTCACCGCACTGCCGGGCTTGGTGCTTTGGTGCCCGTTGCGGCAGTGGAGACACACCCTGTGTCTGATCGTTGCCCCTTCCATGAATGGGCAACCGCGCTGTTGGCCATGGTACCGGCGCACGACGCGGCCGGTGGCCACTTGAAAGGCGAACCCGGTCCAGAGGAACTCGGTGTTCTGAGGATCCTGAGCCCCCCTAGGCTGTTGCTCCCTCCTTTCCTCTTGCGCCTCTTGGGGCGCTTCTGGCCCTAGCCAGACCTCAGTGGCCCTTTGAGCTGCACGCGGCGGCTCTTCGGCACGCTCGGCGTGGTGTTCGATCTCATCCTCCAGCTCCGGCTCCTGCCTGTCACGTCTGCACCTGCAGAGCCAGGAGACTAAACCCCAAAGCATCCACAGGAAGGCCAGGAAGCCTAGGGCCGCGAAGCCGAGCACCAGCTCTGCGAAGTCGTGCCCTTGGGCCTTGGGCCATGAGCGCCGAGCTTGCAAGCTTGGTCGGCGGTCTCATTTTCCAGGGGCTTGCCTGGATCGACTTGATCGTGCCCTTTTGGGCCAGAGCCTCGGTGGCGCCTGCGACCGCATCGAGGTCCACCATGCCCATGGAGGGCAGGGATTGCCGCACCTCCGGTCCAGTCTTCGAGTGCTTGGTAGCGAAGTTTGCCGGATTTTCGGTTCCCTTAACTTTTCTCAGTTCGAAAAGTTTGGCTCTGAGCGCGCCTTGGACAAAGAATTCCGCGACTTCCAGGTGTCTCAGCTTGGACCCTGGTCCTATGCGTTTGGCGGCTCCGATCGAAGCTGCGGAGTCGGCCCAGAGCCGCGGCAAGCCGCAGGCTGGGGCGAAGTCTTTCTCCGCAAGCTCTCGTAGGAAGACGGCCTCCCTTGCTGCTCGCGACACTCCCCGGATCTCCGCGTCTCCGCTGGAGGTGGCTGGGAGGCCGGGCTGTGTCTGGCAGCTTGTCTGGATGACTGCTCCCCCGAGACAGGCAACTATGTTGTCTGTGCTCCTTCTCGTTTCTGGGCACCCTGCCCAGTCGGAGTCGGAGTAGACCTCCAAGTTCAGAAGAGCTGTGCTGTTGACTACCCTTCCAAACCGCGGGGTCGCCCGCAGGTATCGCGCGAGGGTTTCCGCAGCGAGCCAGTCGCAGACCCTGGGGGTTCTGCATCCTTCGTGCCAGCTCTTTCACGGCGAACTGTATGTCTCGCCTGTCCGCCGACAGGTAGATAGCACTACCCACGGCGCTGCGGAACCTCGCGGCGTCACCCGCAGAGAGCTCCTCGACCTTGGTCAGGTCTAGAGGTCTGCTAGGCACGGTCCCCTTGTCTTTTGGACCGATGCCCAGCTGCTCGCACACATTCTCTGCGTGCTTGCTGTCGGGCAGCGTGAGGATAGAGTCCTCTGTGCGCACCTTGGTCCTTCCCAGGACCTCCACCGCTGTGCCCGGCTCCTCCAGTTCTCCCACCGTTATCTCACAGTGCGTCGGAAGGTCCACCTCCGTGAACTTCAGCACTGCGGCCTTGGGGCCTGCGACACGGATGTCGTCGTGGTGGAGAAGGATTAGGCCGGACCGGCGGTCTAGGTACACGCACGGGTCCTTCACGCCCCGCTGGAAGTCGTAGTCCTTGGCTACCCAGAGCTTCCAAAAGACACTATTTAAGAAAACGCACCTTATTTAAGGAATTGTGCGGGAAATAATTGCTTAATTAAGGTCTTTTTCCTTATTTAAGGTGTTTTTCTAGAAAAAGTTGCTTAAATAAGGGGTTTTGGTCCTTAAATAAGGTGTGTTTTCTTAAATAAGGTGTTTTTCCTTAAATAAGGTGTTTTTTTTTGACACCTTAAATAAGGTATGTTATTTTTTATTCGTCATGTTATTGTATGCTTGTGTGGTGTATGCGTGTGTCTGTGTGTGTGCGTGTGTTTGTCAGTACGTGTCTGTGTGTGTGCTTTGTGGCCGGTTGTTTTTCCGCATCCGTGCAAGTCTGCAGCTCAGGCCAGTGTTGGCAACCTCCTGTTGTTGACACAAAACTTGCTAAGCATTTGCTTGGAAGTGCCTTTCATCGAGTACTTTCCTCCACGACGTTTTGCGTGGAGGGACAACACATGGCCGAAGCCCTCGTCTCGATACGTCCACGTCTCGCTGGGCCTGCGCTTTTGGCGGCCCAGCTCGAGAAGCAGGTGCATCTTGGGCTTTGTCCTAAAATATGTTTGCCCTGGGAATTTACTCAACTCTACAAACAAAGCTGCAAATTATTGACAGTCTTGTGAAACTTCTCGGCATCCCAATGCCTTTCGGACAAGAACTCATAGCAACTGTGCAGATGCTTCGCAGTCTGCCTCACCGTTCGCTCGAAATCTGAATTGCCCATGTGCCTTTCAGCGCATTCCTTGGCGAATCCGATGAGGTCGCGAGCCTCGCCGGCTTTAGCCCGCAACTTGGGCCACTTCTTGTTTTTGCCTTTCAGCATGAGCGGAGTCAACGTGCTCATGCGGGACTGGGACAGGTTTCGGCGATAATAATTTTGAATATCGCCAAAAAGGTTCTTGCAGCGATCGTGGACACTTCGCTCGGGGAGCTTTGTCTGCACGACCATATGAAAAAGCCCACCCATGTAGTCAGCTGCACATCCTAAATCCATGCAGTGAAGCCAATCAATGCAGCACTTCTGTACTGAAAAGCAAGGACAACTGAAAAGAGGGCTCAAGTTCTTGCCTTCAGAGATCTGCCTGGCCAGGAACTGGTAATGCGACAGGCGCGAGCTCCTGCAAGGGCATTGGCCGAATGGTCTAGAAACCAAGTTTAGACAGTTGGGGGTAGGGAAACTGCTGGGGTAGAAAACCAATTATATGTTAAAAAAAAGGAGAGGCCTCCTCAATAGGAGGCCCCTCCTTATCCTAGAAACGGAAAAATCAATGAGGAGATGCCTCCTCGATAGGAGGCACCTCCTGGAGCAAAGTGTCCTCCAAGAGCTGCTCTCGTCAACATCATGTAGATCTTGCAAAGTCGCTTGACAAAACCAGCAGATTGGGCCGTTGCCAGTCCAGCCAGGTAGTCGCAACACTTCCTGGTATGCCGACCAATCCGCCCGCACTTCCGCCAAGACTGCCCGGCAGCCTAGCGGCTGCGAGGCTCTCCTCTTTCGCCAGCTGTCGTTGCCAAGGAAACGAGACTCGTCGTGACGGAAGGACGGGAAGAAGCCAGTATAACAGCATCTCATCGACCAAGCAATGATAGCCGTGACATCATCCCAGGTAGCTTCAGGCATCTGAAAGAATTTTGGAAACCCTGTCAGTGGAAAGCGAAAGTCGCCAGCATCTGTAAGCCCTGGCAAGCTGAGGGTTGCACACTGCAGTGTCTGGCTACGGTCTGAGCTAAACGGTACACCGTCTAGCCACAGCCCCAACAGCAGGACATCATTGCCGTGCTCTTGAAGTTGCTCTTGCAAGTTGGGAATCCGAGCTTGTTGATTTCTGATTTCCGAAACATCGTTAGACTCCAGGAGAACGTGTAGCACTTCGTGCGGAAGCATGAAGGCCAGGGTGTAGAGGTCCTCCTTGCCAGTCCTTGGATTCTTGCCCCGGACTTGGCACTCATATGGCGGCGGCCACGGTGTTCGGCGAAGATTGCGCCGAAGCAAGTTCCTGGCAGTGTTGCTTCCCTGCTTAGCCTGGGCCAGATCTTTGACCCCCTTGGCGCCTGCGAGCCCAGCATTTTCGCAGAGTCGACTGGCTCTGGCTCCACTGATGTTTCCAGAAAAAAACAAATCCATGCAATCATGTCTAAATCTATCTTCCTCTGCGATATGCTCCAAACTAGATGCCGGCCCTTTGCTCAGCATGTCTGCACAGGAGGCACATCCTTCGTAGGAGTGCCATCCTAGAATTCGAGCCCAGCGAAAGCGAAATGCACGGCAGCAGAGACTTGCAACTCCGAGCGAGCAGTTTTGACCTAGCGACTCAGCGAAACCAAAACATGGCATGCAAGCCAGTTTGCCATTTTCCACAAGCCGCCAAAACTGAAGCTTCCAGCTCTCAAGATCGGATGAGCATCCATCGCAAAAGATGGATTTGTGCAAGCTTAGACACCGAAGCGGCTCTTCAACTTCTTGTTGTAGGCCGTGGCTGCAGCCAGGTGGCTGGTGGCTTCCTCACTCAGCTGGGTGAGCTCCGGCAACTTCGCTTCCATGCATCCCTCGCTCATGTTCATCCACTCGCTGATCTTGAAGCGCAAAGTCTTCAAGAAGCCTCGGAGGGTCTCGATCTTGGGCCCAACTTCGTCCGCCTCCGCTTGGGGACCGTGAGCAACCAGCTTGGCGTGCTGCTCCTCGAGCTCGTCCGCCACCTTCCCCAGCTTGCTCTTGGCGGCCTTGCAAGCACTGTAGGCCTTGTTCCAAGCCTCTTCGTTGGCGGGCACCTCCAGGTCCGGGTTGTCGAACTTCTCGACGAGCCTGCCGAGGTCGCTTCCTTCCACGTTGGCTCCAGCCCAGCGAGTTCGTGGCAGCTGTGTCCTCCGTTTCGACCTTCTGCTTGTAGTAGTACTTGGCCAGCAAGGGGTTCTTGTGAGGCTTGCAGTCGGACTTGAAACCAAACTCTGCCTCACAGTCGGCGATCAAGTCCTTGAGCGTGTCAGCAGCCACAGCCTCGTCCATGTTGCTCGGGTCCAGGCCGTTCATCTTGAGGATCTGGCTCCTGGAGAAATCATTCGAGTAACATTACAAACCAATCTTACTTGAAATGCCAACTGAAAATAAAAAAACTGAGCATAAAAAAAGTCCTGTTGAAGTAGCCCTTCGTGGTGCTCTCCTTGTCCACGCTTTGCGTTTGGTATTCGCTTTGCATCTCGGCGAACCAGCTGAGGTCACGAAGCCCGCTCGTTTGCAATTTCTGCAATATTTCTTTTTTTCCATGGACGCCAGACTGTTGGTACTTCAGCAAGATATCGTTCGCTTGTTCGCGATGCTTCTCCGTCATTTTCTTAGCCTTGATTTGGTACTTGAGGCTTGTGAGCAAGCCTGCCACCTCTGCCTTGGCCATCCCCAAAGTTTCCTTCGGCTTCTGGGGCGACAAGGGCTCCGTCTTGACAGGTTCCCCTGCGGCCGACTTGGTTCGCCTTCTGCGGGGGGAGGTGGTCTCGTGGTTGCTCGGCGAGGCTGCTGCGGCCTTGGCCTTTGCCGTGGCCTTCGGTTGGGTCTTGGCCTTGGCGGTGGTCTTCGCCTTGTTCTTGGCGACCGCCTGAGCGACAGCGCTGCGACTGCGGAGGAGCCCCATCTTGCAGGGGACGGGTGCAGGAGGCGAGGAGGCCAGCACGTCAGGAGCCCAAAGCAGCTTCGTGAAAACACGTTTTTTTTTGCAAGAATCTAGGAGGACCCTCCTTCACAGGAGGATCCTCCTACGGTCCTACAAGTGAACATCGGTTTGGGATGCACATGCAAGGCTGAGGTGGACTTCCTAGGAAAGCACTGCAACATGTGTCCGAAAATCTTCCAAGGACCAAGCTCGACCCTCAACTTGCCAATCGCCAAAAAGGAGGGCCCTCCTTTATAGGAGAGCCCTCCTGGGAACCTCTTCCTCGTCAGTACCACACGGCACCGCAGACGGTCGCATTTTTCCAAGCGCCACGGAAGAGCACGGTCGCCAAGCAACCTGGGATGGGATTTGTTGAGGTTGTTGGTTTAGGGGTTGCTTCTAGCTTTTTCCCAAGCCCGACCCCCAGCCAACCACTAACAGCCAGAAACACCAGCCCATCCAACCCACCCCCCCACCCCCCCCAACAACACAAAACAAAACTTCTAGCCCACCAAAACTTCCCCCCCCCCCCGACACACCCCGAACAGTTCAGCACGAAAGCCCCGACACGAAGAAACTGCACCCGGCAACACCAGGAAACACAAGCCCGACAACAGACCAAACCGAAACCTTTGCAGCCAAGGAGCTCAGATCATAGCCGCCACAGCCACAGCAGAACCTGAGGCAGCAGACACCCCTAGGGTTAAAATTTTTAACCCATGTGTTAAAATTTTTAACCCTTCCTTTATATATTTAAAAGCAAGCAGGGTTAAAAATTTTAACCCATCGGTTAAAAATTTTAACCCTGGTTTTTCCCGACTGAGCTTGCAAAACTGTTTCCAAACTTGTGTTTCGTTTTCGGGGGCTGGCCTCTTTACTGAACGAAATCTTTCGGGATCTTCACCAAACCACCCTAAACCCAAAACACATGTTACTAGTACACAGGAACAACATGGTGCCAATGATGTGAAACCTCTGGGCTGCACTCTAGAAACCGATCCAGGGCCCGTGTCACCTAGTACAAGTCCAACCCGACCCAAGCAAAATACCCAAAACTAGAACCGCTGCACCCTTTTGGCCTATAGGGAGAGCCTCCTCGGTAGGAGACCCTCCCCAAGTCCACCCTGCTGCCGCCCAGCAACCATCACTTGTCCGCCGGGTCGCCGCCCTTCTCCCCCTTCTCCTTCTCCTGGTTGTCGCCCGCATGTGGCTCTCCTGCAGCAGAAGCTCCGAAAAAACAAACACACACACACACACACACACACACACAAACTGTCCTTGATCGTTTCCAGCTGCAGGGGCGACGGGCCTGGGTCGCTCAGGATGCAGACGGCTTCCACCGAACTTAAAGGAAAACCGAGACCCGTACGACAACACAATCCATGCCCCCGTTGGCGAAGCTGGTGCCGCCGCCTGGCTCCGAGCCTCTGCTGCCTCTGCTTGGCGGCGACGTTTCTCCGGATCGACGGCCTTGGCTCAAAGCACGCACAAGCTGAAGCAAAACAGCAGAGTATTGCGGCCCAGCGGCAACAGGACCCTCTCGTGGACGTTTCTCCGCTTCCGTCTCACCCCACCATTTGCCCTTGGGGCAGCCAGCAGCCTTGGTCTTTACATAGGAGAGCCTCCTGTATAGGAGACCCTCCTTTAATCCCTTACACATAGACAGGAGCCCATGTACGATTTATACAGAGCTAGGACCCTACATTTCTACATGAAGGTTGCAATTCAGGGAGAGCCTCCTTCATAGGAGACCCTCCCTAGTGCCAAGCTGCATGCCATTGCTTGACCGATTCCTGCCATTGCTTCCGCTTAAGTCCCTTGTTCTTCTTGTTCTTCTTCTTGATGTTTTGCGAAACATTGGCACCGTGGATATCATCGAACTCCTTCGGGGTGTAGTCCGGCTTGCCTCCCTTCTGCTTGTAGGGGTTCCACGGCTCCGACCGGTTGGGGTTGTAGATATAGTAGTCGCCTTGCTCGTTTTCAGGGTTAAGGGCTCTGGCTTGGAGCTTCGGGCTCGAGGTGTTATGGGCCTTAGAGACTTAAAGGATTAGAGGATGCACCCAAACACTTCTGTAGACTGTAACCCCCCGCTACAAATAACTGCTAGCCAAGCTGCACTTTTTGTTGACACAGCCGTCTTTGCGGATGTACCCATACGATTTGCAGAACTGACAGTACCTCAGGTCATACTCCGGCTCATCATCCGGATCCTCGTCCGGCTCGTCGTCTTTCCATGGCTCCCAGTACGACTTGTCGTCGCGACCTCCTCCTCCGCCCCAGCCACCTGAGCCCCAACCGCCAGAGCCCCAACCGCCGCCGCCTGAGCCGCCGCCGCTGTAGTAGCTGGTGCCCGTCGTCGCCATTGCAACGGGCTGGCCGAGAGTGCAAAAGGAACAGGGTTCGAGCCAAAGCAAGCTGCATTATATGCATTCAGCGCACACATGGTTTCACAGCAGCAACATACAAAGCGCAAGTGCTTTGCAGGACCCAGGAGAGCCTCCTCCATAGGAGGCCCTCCTTGCAAGACAACAAGATCTCGCACGCACTTCTAGCTGCAGCTTTTCACTACACACCAGAGCATGTGCCGGATACTATACTCAGAATGTCTCTAAAGGCCGTGCCCCTAAACTGTCAAAGCCCGCAAGTCACAACCCCCACCCCTCTCACAAACGAAGTTCAATAACCATATACCAAACATATACCAAAACAAAACATTGAACGTGGAATGAAAAACAAACACCGCATATCCCAGCTAGGAGAGCCTCCTCCAAAGGAGGCCCTCCTTGACATCCTTCCACACGAAGACGTGCTTTAGGCACTGTCGAATATCGCAAGGCATCCTTTTCGCCGCTTCCAGGCTCCTTATAGGACAAAATCCTAGCCAACTGATCTAACCAGCTGCCCGGGGGGTGTCATCACTCGAAACATAGTTTGCTCCTTCATGGTAAACAAACCAACGAATATCGCTATGCCAAAGCTCGTGTACGGCTTGGACGGTTTTGCGATCTCGAGGAACAAGAAAAGCCCAAATGAGGTCGGTCGCCCTTGCACAACTGAACTGGTGGATGCTGTCGCCGAAGATGGACCATTGGACGTCCAGCAGCCAGGCCGTGTGTACCTGAGCCACCTGAAACTGGTCTCGTAGATCAAGATATTCCCAAATCCTCCGGCCAGCCTGGACTCGGGCGAGCGATTGCAGCAAGTCTTCCATTGCTGAGTTCTGCAGATGTTGGGCCGAAAAGTCGCTGCGAATATTCCTTTCAATTCACATGCCAGGAAAACAAAAGACGAACACGGCGACGGAAACTGCATGCGAAGCTTGCACACGAAATTGCAGGGGCCTTTCCTTTTGCATCTCGTTTGCTTAGATGGCAAGCATAGTGTGAAAAATCATTTGCCTCGCTCACAGACATGATCAGTCAGACCTGTGCGAGGCGACTCTTACACCAATCTTCGGCATCAGCTTCTTCAAGCTCGCCGCTCTCAAGCTTCTGGACACATGCTTTTGCGATCCTGTCCATCTGCCAAACAGGGACGCCTTTTCGGCCGAACTGGAACAGCTGTGAGAAGGGAGCCTGCTTCTGCCGAATGGCCTTCTTGTGCCTGGGCGCCTTGTAATACATGATGGTGTATGTGCGCCGTCCCACACGATCCTGCTGTGCAGCAGCTACGTTCTCCGGCTGCTCCTCCGCAACTGATGGCTGGGGCTCCATGCCACTGTCCTCGTTTTCTTCGAGGCTGGCAGAGCTAGCCGAAGCACTTGCCGTTGTCGGTGCTGCAGCCGGCCTCTTCTTGGCAGCCGGTTTTTTCATCACTCGAGCAGCCGGCCGCTTCATCCGCTGAATTCGCAGATTTGGGATCTCTGTGGACACTGCCTCCGCCGAGCCAGGGAACAAAGCTTTCTGGAATCCGTCTTCGCCTTTTTGCATCGTTGCCATCACCAAAGCCCCACTGGGATAAGCACGAACCATGCAGAGACGAGCAGAGTCGAAGTACTCTTGGTATTCAGCAGACCCGTCTCCGCCCGAAGTTTTGTCTTCCACTGGCAAAGCTGCCGTAGGAGGTGCCTCCTGAGTAGGAGACATGACCTCCTGCGAGGAAAACACTTCCTGCACGTGGGCAGGAGACAGCCCAGTCTCCTCCACCTCTGCACCTGGATCTGAAACTGGCGCCTCCAGGCCGTACTGTGTGAAGATCTGCTCCTTGCTGCTGCGAGTCGCAGGAGCCACCGAAGAGGGCGAGGGCCGAGGACTTGCAGCAGGTTTGGATGCAGAAGAACTGAAGCTGCTTCTGGAGACTTCTCGTGCCACACTGCCGCCCATGCCTTTCAAGAACATGACCACCTCACGAACGGCAGGTGGTAGCTTCTTCCCAGACGTGCAACTGCGCTTGCTGCGACAATGACATACCGCATTCACAAGCTTCTCGCACCAAGGCTTGCAAAGTTCTCTACTGGATTCCGGGAACAAGCTCATGCAGCCAGCAAGGAGTACCTTCACGGTGGGCCTGCTGGTTTCCTTCAAGACGGCCAGGATCAAAACCTTGTACTCAGCCACGACCTCATCCAGGCTTAAGTTCATATACTGGTCTGGTTTAGGGGCATCTGCAAAGCCATTCCCCTTCAATACTTTCTTGATATCCTTTGCACTCGCTTCATTGCGGGCTCGGGCCATCTCTACAGGAGGCCGCTGCAGCCAAAACAAGACTGCAGGAGGAAGTTGCACATGCATGGCATAATCTGCGGGAATGCTGCACCTATCTCTTCCAAGCAAATCAATTGCTCCAGCTCGTACGGACAAAGAGACAGAGAGAGACACAGAAACTCCGGTGTCTGTGTGTGTCTGTGTTTTTTTTTGTGTGTGTGTGTGTGTGGGTGTGTGTGTGTGTGTGTGTGTGTGTGTGTGTATGTGAAATTCTGTTTGTTGGTTTCTCTCGCTATGTATAAGTATGTGTATATAGTGTATATGACTGTATTAAAAAAAACACCTTAATTAAGGTATGAAAAAACACCTTATTTAAGGAAAAACACCTTATTTGAAAAACAAAAAAACACCTTAAGCTTAAATAAGGTCTTTTGGAAGATCTGGGTAGCTTGCCGGTGAGGACTTCTTCCAGCTCGTCCCTGTAGACGGAACCAGCCGTTCTTCGGCCGTAAAGGTTGCCGTCCACTCGGAACACAAAGTCCCGGAAGTGGTCTCGGTACCACTGCTGGTCCTTTGCAGGCTGCTCCAAGACCCATTGGTCAAAGAGCTCGCGCCACTCCACAGGCGCGTGCATGTAGACCGGGCGGCCCTCCGCCGCACCGCGGTCCTTCCCTATGAGGAAGGCGGCCACAATATCCAGACCCACCCCTCGTTGTGTAGCGCTGCTACCTCAAGTAGGGAGTGACTCTCGGGCGTTGGCGTTGGGACGAAAACATCCAAGCCAGCTTCCTGTTCTACCTTGACTTGTACCGTCCTTTGTCGCACTTGTCGACCCACTTTGCCCTGAACAGCTGCGCCCCGCGCGGTACTTCAGACCGCAGCACAGGCGTGAAAGCGCCTCGGTCCCACAGCTTTCTTAGCTGCTCCTTGCGTGCCTGCTCGACCTGCTTGGGGTCGAGCATCCGGTCTAGCAGGTCTGTCACCTGCCCGACCCACGCGTCCCGCTCGCCTTGGTGGTTGGTGAGCGGCGGGTCGGCTAAGGCAGCGATGTGCTGCCACACTTCGCGCTCAGTGGGCGCTCCTAGCCGCGGTGCCTTCTTGGGCTCCGTGCGGCTCTTCGCTGCAGGCGGCTGCTGTGCTGCCGCTGCGCTCGCGGAGGAACCCGCAGAGTCGCGCTTCTGCCCCCCTTCGCCTGAGCCGTCGTTGGCGGCTGGGGCGGGGCTTGCCGCTTGTTGCGGCAACGCGCTTGCTGCGGAAGGTGCTGCCTCCACGTCGGACGGCTCGTAGTCCGGTATTTCTGCGTTGGCCAGCTCCTCGGTAGGGCTGGCGTCCGGGAGCCTGCTGGCCTGCTCGGCCCCTTCGACTAAGAGGGCCTCGTCGTCGGGCCGCGGGCTCACCGGGCGGTAGCCGCTCCACTTCCTCGGCCGGCGTGGCCAGAGGGATTGGCACCATCATCGGCTCGCTGCGCTCTGCTGGCGCTGCGCGGCCAAATCTGGGGTTCCAAGGCAGGCCGCATGCTTTGAGGACGGCTGCCGTTTGGTGTCGGGTCTCCGGCGGGAGTCGCCTGACGCTCCTCACGTTGAGTGCGCCCGCTTCGGTTAGCACCACGTGTGAGTCGTCGCGCTCCAGCTTGCCGGCGCTTTGTTCCCGGGCCTCGGGAGCTTAGCTAGAACGGTTTCTCCAAAGGAGCAAAGTGCTCCACCATAGTCGGTGCCAGTGGCGGCCCGATATGGTGTCACCCCGTCCGTCGACTTGGTCCCGAACCGGGCTTGCAGCCAGGCCACGTGCCTGACCAGCCACGGGAACAGGTTGGACGAGGTGTCCCACTCTAAGGCGGGGTAGTCCGCTCTTAGCTGCGAAAGCCAAGTGCGAACCTCACCTGCCAGGTGTGCGTTCCTTCCCTCCACGGATCCTTGGCTTTGGTGTGACCCGCGAGGGGCGTCCCGAAGACGCACCCTAGCAGCTCCAAGCCGGCGGTGGACCGCACGGGCCACAGAGGCTATGGCGTTCTCTTGGTCGGCCTGCAGGGTCAGAGTCCAGCCAGTGGCCCTGTCTGTGAGGTTCAGCAGGCAAGCGACGCTTCTTCCTCAACTTCTTTCCCGTCCCGGCTGTAGAACTGATAATCCATGGTGACAAGCGGCGTCACCGGATCATCTGAGGGCTCACGGCGGCGGTGAGGGTCCTCGCGCGCCTTTCCCTCCACGCACTTCTCGCACCACGCCTGGTAGGGCGTGTGGTGGCGAGCTTCGAGGTCGTGCTCCGGGATGTAGTCGTAGTACCCCAGGTCCTTGCCTGGGCTCGGTGGCTCTGCCGCCACCGGTGCCACCCGGTTTGTTGACCCCGGCGGGAGCTCCCGCTCGTAGGGTAGGAGGAACTGCGACCCTCTCTTGAGGATCGAGGCTCGGACGCCGTCGGGCCACAAAATGTGGCTGTCCTCTCGGTGGAGCCAAATGCCCGCACCGGCCTCAACAGCACGGCTGATGCTGAGGATTTCGTCCTCTATGTCCTCGGTCACCTCAAAGTTGACCTTGCAGGACTGACGCTCCTCCCCTAAGACACGGCCCTTGGTCTTCAGGCGGCTGTTTTCCACCGAGTAAAGGCTCTTTGGTGGGCCCGCGGGCTGCAGGTCGGGAAACGCCTCGGGCCTGCACACGGACACACACGCCCCGGAGTCCACAAGAAGACTCCCCGACACCTTGAGGATCTTTTCCTCTTCTGGCTCGGTGTCGTGAGGCGGGGCAAACCGCACACCTAAGATGCGGTCGTCGCGCACCTGGCGCACCTGGCCTTTGCCGCCAGAGCCGCCAGTGCTTCCTCCAGCTTGGGACGCGGAGGGGCCCGCAGTCGCCAAGGAGGCTGTTGACAACGTTGTGGCCGCGTCGTCGGCCACCTGGGCCACCTGGCCTTTGTTGCCTTTGCCTTTTCCCTTGGCGTTGAACCAGCACTCTTTTACGGTGTGCCCCGTTGTCCAGCAGATGGGGCATCTCTCTTTGCCGTCTCTGCCTCCTTGCTGGTTCCCCTTTTTGTCCCCTTTCTTGCCTTTGTGGTCGTGGTCGCCCTTGCCCTTTTTGTGGTCTTTGTCCCCTTTCTTGCCTTTGTCGCCTTTGCCCTTCCCTTCTTTTCCGTCTCGGTCCCCTATTCTGCCAATGTCCATGGCGTTAGGGTCCCTTCGGGAAGAGGCGGCGTAGCCCGCACTCGGGGTCCAGACCCTTTTGGCTTGCAAGTAGCTCACCACTACCTCCCTCACCTCGGCATAAGTCGAAAGAATCGCCGCGTGCATAGCGAGGTGTTGCCGAAGAGCGTTGGGGCTCTCGGTCACCAGCACTGCCCGCAGATCCTCGTCTGCTAGGGCGCGCCCTGCGCCATACTCGGAGGCGTAGCGGTCCACATCTGCCTCCCATTCCTGCAGAGCCAAGGAGAAGTCACTCTCCTTTGGCGGGAACTTCGGCATCAGCAGGGTCCGCCTCCAGGTGAGGTTCTTGGACTCGTTCTCTGGGTTGTGCTCCTGCCACAGGAGACGCCAGAGCTCGAACCCATTCTGGCCCTTCACTCCGTGCGCCAGCTTTACAGCTGTGGCGGAGTCCTGGGTCCAGCTGCCCAGCATGCCGAAGAGGCGGACGCTGAGGGTCCGCACTTCCTCGGTCATGGCTGCCATTTGGAGTGGCGCCTTGCACTTTCGAGCTATTTCCAGCTCCGCTGGATACCTGGTGTCCACGACCGCCAGGTAAGACTCTGCCTGAAAGGCAAAGCGCTCCCAGTCGTCCCGCCCCTTAAGGGAGGTAGGGAGACGCATGCTGTTGAGCAAGTGCCCTCCACCGCTCGCCTGCGCGGGCGCAGGGGCGGGTGCCGCCGTAGCGGCTGCCACCGTGGCGGCTGCTGCAGCTAGGCCCTGTTGTCTCTGGGCCGACAACTCGCCAATCGCAGCCTGCAGCTGCTGCGCTTGGCTCTCCGGCGGCCCCCCAAGGGTTGCCACTTCCCCGCACAGAGCCTCGACCACGGGGTCGTTTTGTGGGGGTGGATAAGCCGGTTGCTGGCTCATTTTTTGAGGCGTCAAGATAGCCTGGCTGATCTCGTCCAGCAAGGTCAAGGCTTCTCCGTACTGCTCTGCCAGCCTTGGGTTGCCTTCCCAAGGAGTCGCTGGCCTGTTGCGAGCCGCGTGCCTGAGTCCGTTGAGGAACTGGCACGGCCCTTGGCCCTCGGAGCTCTCCTCTGACTCCTCTTCCTCACCTTCGTCGGCCGGCGAGGTGGGCTCTTGCTCCTGCTCCGGAGCTTCCTCCCGACCGCAGCCTCGGGCTCTGCTGGCCGGCTGTGCGGCCTTGGGTTCCTTCTTCAGTGGAGGCGGTGGTCCCAAGTGAGGTGGCGGCGCCTTCACCGTCGGTGCTTTGGCTGCCGGAGCACCTCTTGGTAGGGCCTTCGGCTCTGCCTCCGGGGTGGCCTCAGTGGGTCCACTCGCCGGGGCTGCTTGCTCCTGTGCAGCTTCGGAGCTGGGGCTTCCAGAGCTTTCTTCTTTTGCCTCGGCCGCCTTGGGCGCGGCCTTCGGTGAGGCCTCAGGCTTTGCCTCCTCGGCTGGCTCTACGGCCGCCTCTGCGGAGGCAGGCGGGGCAACCCGCTCTGCCGGCTCTTCCTTCTTAGCAGGGGCGACCGTGTTAGAGGAAGAAGCTGCAGCAGCAGCGGGCGGGGCTTCCCGCTCTCCTTCGGAGTCGCTTCCCCCGAAGTCTGGAGTGTCCTCACCAGGCGCGGGGCCTGTGAAGACTGGCACCTTGGGCACCGGCGCGGTGTCCAAGGAGGATTCCGAGCTAGGGCTCTGAATCTCCTGGCCGGCACCTGGAGGAGTCTGCTCCGGGGTGCGCGGCTCTGGGATATCAGTCCCCGGGCCCTCTACGAGGACGACCGGGTCTGTACCCTCTCTTTCGCGCCTTTCAGCGCCGCGGGCCTCGCGGTTGGCGCGGGCCGCTTGGGAACGACCACCTCGGTGGTTCTTCTTCTTCCCAGAACCCTGTTCAGGCTCTTGGGTCGCAGGCTTGCCCTTGCCGGACTTGCCTGCTGGAGCTGGCTTGCCCTTTGCGGGCTGCTCTGCTCCTTTTGCTTGTGCTGCCTTGCCCTTTGCGGGCTGCGCAGCTCCCTTGGCAGGCTTGCCCTTGGTGGGCTTCCCTGCTCCCTTCTCCCCGCGATGGGGGGTTCGGCTCCCCGACTCCGAGGCGGGGCGGCCCGCACTCGGGCCGGTTTTGCCTTTGCCCTTTTCGGGCTCGGCTGTTCTGCCCCGGTTTTGGTTCGGGGCTTCGGTGCGCTCGCCTATGAGAGGGCGGCGCGGTCGAGCTGGAGCTTCAGCGGCTCCGCTCCCCTTGGCACCTTCTGGTGCCTGACTGGAAGAGGCCTCCTCCTGCTGGGAGGTCCTCCAGTCCCACTGGGAACTCCAGTCGGAGTCCCAGTCCCACCAGCCCCACCACTCGGACGTGGCGGCTGGCGGGTGGCGGTTCGGCCCGCGCACCCAAGGAGCGTCGGGGCCTACCGAACCAGCTCCGCTACCATGCGCGGAGGTTGGGTCGCGTATTGGGCTCACTATTTTCACTCTGCAAAAGAGGGCTGCGGTGAGTCGCAGTCAGGTTAAAGCCCTTTAGCTCAAACCCTCTTCTCTCTACACTGTACAGCTACTTACCTAGGTTTCCTAGTGTAGCCTACAAAAATCTCGCAGGACTTCCTAGGTCCTATATAAGTCCCTAAGTCAAGAAACTACGATTCGACTGGTGAATTTCCGGACCTTGGGTTCTTCCTGATTCTCCCTATAGACATTGTCTATCTACAACGTATGCTGGAGGGTACTCAATCTATAAGGTGTTCCAGATGGTAAACAAAAGTATACATAATGGACATATACCAGGTATTACGCAAAGCAATATTATCCTAATTATCCCCTTGTTAATCCTGAATACCTACAAAATGTTCTAGTGTAGTCCAATGGTGTCCTATAGGATTGTCCTTAGGGGTTTTCTATGAGGTATACAGACGGTAATAGACACAGGGGGTATTCTGTGAGATAGTTGAAGGGGTATTGCAGATGGTTTTCCATAAGGCCTATAAAAGGCTATTATGTAACGTATTTCTTTGGGCATTCTATATGGTATTCCATAAGGCGTTGTATAAGGGATTCTAAAGGGCATAAACATAAACGCAAAAATTGTATTGTAGAAAATAGTCTATAAGGTAATCTAGAGGCTATAGGGTCCTCAGTACGGTGCGTGTACGGTATGTAGGAGTAGTTTATATTGTATTGCCGAGGTTAATCTATATGAAAATTTTTAAGGTTTGCAAAGAGAGTATAACGGGATTCTAAAGGCTATTCTCTTCGATTCCGGATTTCTTCCTAGAGTTCCCTCACCCATACAGTTTTATGGGGGGGTTATCAAACCTTGCGTTCTTCAGGATTGTCCTTTTGTTCATCCTTTGGTTGAAGGGTCTCATATACCAGATATTATGTGATGTAAAGGCATATAGACGGTATACACGGGCTATCATATATAGGACCATAGCGGGTTGCTATAAGGTATTCTATAGAGTATTCCAGATGGTCTTCAATAAGGCGTACGATATATAGAGGGGATTATGCATTCCATTCCGAACTTCGTAAGGCATTCTATGTGGTATTCTACAGGGGTTCCATAAGTTATTGTATATGGTATTCTATAGGGTAGATATATGGGGGATTCCTGAAAGTTTATTATAAGGTATTCCAGAGGCTATAGGGTATTCAACAAGGCATTCAACAAGGCATTGAGGTAGTCTATGTTCAGGTATTCCAGATGAAAGTTTTTAAAGTATATATAGAGGAATTATTCCAAAGGTTATCCTACAAGTAATAAAGTGTTCAAAAAAGTAAATTGCCTAGATGGGTATATGTAATATGAGGCGTGCGGGTTCCGGTGTAGCATATATATGTAATCTTGTATGAGGTACATCTTTACAGGGCAGTCCAAATGATGTTCTGGAAGGTGTATAAATGCAGGGTGTAAACGTGGAAGTGTACAATGCATCCTACAAGGTATTCTCAAGGGTATTCTATTGGCTATTCCACAAAGTATTGTCGAAGATACTCTACAGGGTATGTATAGGTCCTCGCTGGAAAACCCTGGTTTTGGAATGACAAACAAACTTTTCCTAGGAAAAAGATGGTTTTGACGTGACAAACCAACTATTTCCTAGGAAAGAGATTGTTTTGGATGGGAAAACCAACTTTTTCCTATGAAAAACAAACAAAGAAAAAACTTTCAGAACACTCTACGGCCGAACTCCAAAAAGATTGTTGTTTTGTTTTTCCAAGAAAAATGGTTTTTGGTGCAAAAAGATGGTTTTGGTGTGAAAAGAGGAAAAAATGGTTTTGGTGTGAAAATCAGACTTTTTCCTACGAAAAAAATGGTTTTGGTGCGAAAAACCAACCTTGTCCTAGGAACAAGATTGTCTTTGGCATGAAAAACCAATTTTTTCCCATGGAAAACCAAAAAAACATCTTTTTGAAGTCTGGCCACAAGTGCGTGCTCACGTCGATCCTGAACGAGTTGCCTGGCCGTTGGTATGTGATTTGAAGAGTACAGTTTTGCCGCTGAGGGCGTGCTCACATCGAACCTGAACGAGTTGTCTAGCGCGTTCTGTTGAAATGTGTGCTTGGCTTCAGCAGGCGTTGAGAGATACGGAATCCGGACCTGCCGGAAAAGCTGGTTTAACACGGTGTTTACGATACAAAATGAGGGGCGGTAGTTCTTCGGGGGGTTACCATATATATATATGTATATATATATATATATATATATATGTCTTCTTTCAAGAAACAAAGAATACTTCTGCAATAATGTATTTACCGCTTTGTTTTCCGTTTTTATATCCTTACACCAAAATGAAAGCAAGGCTGCTGCTGGAGAGAGGAACCTTCAGGTCCAGGAAGAGCTCCCAAGCGGGATGGACGACTTCGCACTTAGCCTGCAAGCAGAAGGTTTACTTAGAGACCCTTCTGTTTGCGTAAAAGATCACAGGACGTAGAAGCTAACTCTAAATTGAATTATTTCAAACCCTAATTAAACTACGTATATCCTCACTTACTACGTCTCATGATCCTCCGACTAGGTTTAGTTTCGGAGATGCCACATCGAGGAGACTAAAGTAAAGACTAAAGAGAAACACAGAGAGACAGAGAGAGAAGAAGAGAGAGAGAGAGAGAGAACTATCCAGAGCGCAGAGTAGTAAAGCATGAAAACTACGTAGGCAGGCAAAATACTTGAGCATGATGCAGCTGTCTGGATTACAGGGCAATCGCCGCAGACAGTGCGACTGAGCTCGGTGGCTAGGTCTGGAACTCAGCATGATGATAACAGTTGTCATGATGACTCACACGTGCAAAGCCAGCATAAAAGCTGTGGGCCCTGAAGCCGAAATAAACGACAGTCTCACGTGCCGAAGGGGCAAATAACATGGTCATATTGGTTGATGTTGGGTGGGCTCGGATAATGGTGCTATTTGCTGACTGTAGGGGCCTGAATAATTGGAACAAGGTTTTGGGATAAACTCTGCGATCATCACATTATGCCTTATAAACGGATATCACTAATCAGTATCTATTCCAACCAATTTAACACATGGAGACTTTCTTTAGCAATCTGAGTCTTCGTCACCCGGCTGCACCCTGGCAAGGCTGGCGAGCAACGCTGGAAGCATGACAACCAGCAAGGTGGTAAATCGACTAGGAGCCTTAATAAAAAGGGTTTAGGGTGCGTATAGGGTCTGGGCTTAGGAGCCTGAATACTTAGAATCGGGTTCCTGGGGTAGTTTTAGCAGTACAACATAGAACAAAAAATGTACCAAAACTCTATGCGAATCGTCACTGCAAAAAGAGGTGGCACCTGCGGCCTGCAGTCTTGGCAAGTCTTGTTCGAACCTCGACATACTTTAGTAGTAGTAGTAGTAGTAGTAGTAGTAGTAGTAGTAGTAGTAGTAGTAGTAGTAGTAGTAGTAGTAGTAGTAGTAGTAGTAGTAGTAGTAGTAGTATTCATTCCTCACGCAGCGAAGGATCCGATTCGCCTAGCGAGCTGACTGCACTCATGCTTTCATGAATGCAGGAGCCTCTTATGGGCTCTGCGTTGTCCCATTGCAGTCATCCTGCCGCAGCCAGAGCAAATACATCGCATCTGCATAGTGTGATTGCTCAGCTGGTTGTGCCACATGGTTATCATCCGTAATCCAGTATCTGCAGGCTGCAAAACCTTTTTGTCCATACAGCAGAGTGCGATAATGTCCACTGGTTGGTGCATCACCAAAGTGAAGTTGAGCTGCAGTGACCTGGTAGCGAATCCATCGTACTTGCATGTTGTGTGCATCTGTGAATACAGGCATCCAGATACCATCGCTGAACCCCACAAGTGCACGGCCGTCTCTGGCAATGGTCCCCTCCAGGTTCCTGTATCGCAGCAGTTGGAGACACAGGATGCGAGCTGCACGAGTCATGGCATATTTCGCAGTTGTCTGAGCACACCACCCCTCCACAGACTGCTGAAGGTGAATAACATCTCCTTCATTTGGGACTATCGCAATTGGTTGTCCCAACGGTCCGGAGTCAAGGGTAGTGACTCCGTGAACTGCATAGTTCCGTGCCTCCCAGCATCCATGCATACCCATATCTCCAAACCTGGGCAGCAAATACGTGGTAAGTTCCGCAGCATCGTGCTGCTGATGCACATTGTTCCATGCCTGAAGCAGGACACTCCAGGGCAGGAGCTTCAGAACCTTGAGAGCAGAGGAGGCAGCGGGAGCAGATACCCGATCCGACTTGCACAACATGCTGAGGGCCGACACCGGCAGCGGGAAGGTGCCGTAATGTAGACGAACCTGAAGATGTGTCCACAGGATGGCATAAATAGTTGAGTGGAGGTAGCACAGATTGGATGGATTGTGGAACGTAGTAGCAAGGAGACGCTTTAGCCGAGGGACCATGTCTAGGTCTGTTGCCACTGCTGTGCAGACGACTGCTGGTTCCATATCTCCTGGACAAGGTTGTCGTAGGCCGGGCGATCCTTTCGCAATCTGCATCCCAAGGTGTGCCATGCTGCCTGCCCGATCCATTGGGTCAAGGTGCTCCACAGAGCTCCACCCTCCTGTCTCATCGAGATGATGATCTGGAATTGGATCCAGTCCGAGGTGACTTCTGGGGTCAGTTTTCGTACTGACTTGAATCGTAGCAGGGATTCCTCGGTTACAGCCTTGCGCACATTGACGAGTTGAGCCAGTAGATCCGAGGTGGGGATCGGGCGAAGAGTGGAATCCACTTCGAGCGCCTGAGTCGTGTTGTTCCACTTCAGGTGCTTCCACTGATTCTGATCGTCCACCCAGTTCAAGCTTTTGGCCTTCGCCATAGCTTCCGCATCCTTGGCCGTCTCCGTGAGTCTCTGGTGCAAGGAGATGAGCAATTGCTTGAACATGGCCAGCTTCAAGGAAAAGGTGAGTTTCTCTGGCGACTCCTCCTTCATCGTTCTCCACTTTTCTGCAGAGTCGCACAACACCGGGATCATACCCTCCGGGCCCGACCGAATGAAGAGATGTAGTACCACGTCCTGCTTCAACGCCGTGATCATCTGTTCCTGTCGGAGGGCTAACTGAATTAGCTTGGTCACCCGGTATTCCATCCACTCCATCTCCGGGCTCGTCGGACTGTTTATGTCCTTGGTCATCTGCCACGGACAATCGTACAGCTCCGAACCACCTGTGTAAGCCCAGTTTTTCGCCGCGGGTGGATCCTGGGGCTGTGGGTAGCTCCCCTTCCCTTTCCCTTTGGATTTGCCTTTCCCGTCGCTCTTGCCCTTGCCCTTGAACTGGTTGCCCAGCCTTTGTCTCTGGTTGTACGTCTGGTCTGGGCGGTTCATCTCTGTCTCTCGCTTGACTGGTCCCGCTTGGCTCCAAAAGAGCTTTTCCTGAGCGTCCAGGTCCATGGGGTCCTCCCTGACTCCTGTCATACCTAGCTTTAAGAAAAGCACAAATATGCAGGACGTGGCATTGCTTCCAGTGTCTATCTTTGTTGATGTTGCTCAGTTTGCAGTATCGACATGGAATGACTGTATGCCGACGGAACCCCGTAAGAAGCTTGAGCGCAGCAGGCTGACAGTCCGTCCATTCTGAATGTTGTTTCGTCAAATGGTATTTGATACTGGTTGTGGTAGCCAGCCACTGAAAGCAAATGGGGCAATGATGCTGCAGATAGTCCTGGATGTCTGGCTTCAGCAGCATTTCCGTCCAGAGTCCTTTGGCCAAGGTCTGTCGGACCTCAGGCCAGTCACATAGGGGCAGAGATCTGGGAGCAGGGTGTGCCGTCTCTGAGACGTCCACATGAGAAGAACACAAAGCCAGGGGTGCAGTAGAAGCCGGTGGTCCACTACCTGTAGGAGGAGGCACTGGTGCCAAATGATCTGCTGTTGTGGGAGGCTCACTGGAGGGCACCGGCGGAATCGCGGGAAGAAGCGATTGTGAATCAGTCGGACCACGGCGTAAGACCTGGCAGCGGTTACGCTTGATATGCTTCACCAGTCCGTCCCATTGACGAAAAGCATGGCGGCAATGCCTGCAGGTGGGCAGGCCCTCAAGGCCATGTTCGTACCTATTGAAAGGTCCCTCCGTGGAGGGAGGAGTTTTCTTGGCATGGTGAGTGGCCTCATGTGCTCGAAGTAGTCGAAAGGACTTGAAGGTCCTGTGGCACTCTTCACAGTGACGTGCTGCATATGTGTCGCAGGTGGCGTCTTCCGGTTTGGTCCATTGTGCCTGCACCTGTGTATGTAGTTCCGCGGCCGTCCGCCTGACAGCATCAAGCTGGTCTTCCGTCAGAAACTTGACAGGGTGAAGTCTGTTAAGGCCTCTGTACAAGACATGTGCCTCGCGCTGGAGACATTCAGTCGCTGTGGGCTGCGAACATCTAGAGAGCAGGGCCTGAGTGGATTCATGCTGCATATGTGCAAACGATTTGGTGATGGCTCGGAGGTGCTTGGTGATCATATGTTGCATCTTGTGAGGACATCCTTTTCGTCTGGGCCCGTGGCCGCGATGCCATAAAGCAGTGTGGGTAGGACCGTTGTGCGCCACAATTGAAGTCTTTCGGACAATGCCAAGTGCCTGGTGGAGCACAGAACCCCCCTCAGCCTTTGCCATGCCTGGTTTGCAGCCTGGAGTCGGCTCGTAACCGCACATCTAGAGGGAGCATGGTAAGATATCTTTATGCCGAGATACGTGTGCTGTTCTCGGATTGGGATTTCGTACAAATGTCCCTCAGGGCTGCGAAGTCGAAGCACATTTCCGTCTTTCGTGGTGATCAGATGTCGACGCAACCAGCCTTTGATGAAGCTACCTCTATGCCTAAGGAGTATGGCAGACTTGGCCAGATTAATTACCATACCGTTGGCACGGAGTTCATCCAGTATGGTGCAAAATCTGTGCACCATGCGATCTAACCCCTGCACTGAAGTCATCGTTTCCTTGAGATGGATGTCGTCGGCATAGATGGTGGAGTTGTCACACATCCAGTCCTGGGTAAGGAGAGGGTCTTCTTTGGCCTGGAGGTCTCGATAGATCTGGGCAAGGGAAAGAATCCAGAGTAGCGGAGCGAGTTTGCAACCTTGTCTCAGTCGTTGTTGGGCTTGGACTTTCGCAGTCAGTCCTAAGTGGGTGATTACGTAGGTAATCTCCGAGTACCAGGAAAGAATCTGGTTTTTGAGCTCTAGGGGAACCCCCGAGGAGGTTAGGGCTCTGTCCAGCAATCGCCAATCGAGCAGGTCAAACGCGCTGGAGAGGTCGAGGGATAGTTGTATGCCTGCGAAATGAGCGAGTTGCTGTGGGAGCTGCGCGTGTCGGTCCACAACTGTGGGCGTAGCAAACGAACATTTCCGCTGTACCTGGTGACAATGATGGACGACCCGTTGTATCGCCTGCGCGGCGCTACGGCCCGACAT